ATATATATATATATATATATGAGACCATCCGTACATAATAAATTACATGCAACATTATATTAATTGGAGAATTCAAACTCTCTCCTTTTTATAATTTTAAATTCACACTAAATTCGGTAACTTAGCGTCATTTCTCATTAACTACCTACGCTTATATGGAAAATCTGGTCAAATTCTGGATATTCAGATTAGTCACATTCTGGCATATCACTATTAAATTAACTTGTGATTTATTCTATTATATTACCTCATCTTGTATACTAATTGAATGCACGTAAATCAGTCTCCTAAATGGCCTCATGGGCTCAATAATGCGCAAGAAGGCCATCATAAAGAGATTATGGTAGAAAATAGAGACTGCATACCATGAACTTCATTTTGTTAACATTCACTGAGTGCCGGAAGATGCAGGAGCTCTGAGTAAAGGGATCAAGAGGAGGCTGAACAGGAGCACTTGTTGCCCACCGAAGTAGATCGAGGTGGCTAAGAGTAGGATATTGAAAGGAATTGAGGGAGGTAGTAGGCGCAGGACTTCCAGTGCTTGGCAGATTAGCGCCCCAAATGCCACTAGCATCTGGCAGAATTTCTGTAAAAAAAAGAAAATTATAAAATTATAGAGTAAATATACAAATTTAAGATAATAGGAAGAGCTTAAAATACTATAGGCAAGGATAGCTATATTATCCCAGATTATTTATTTGCCATTTAGCAATCTTCCAAACAGTGAAAGTCTTGCATCTACTACCTCCCTCCCTTCCTTTCAATACCCTAATCTTAGCCACCTTGTTCCACTTCGGTGGGCGACAAATGCTCCTGTTCAGCCTCCGCTTGATCCCCTTACTCCTGAAGCAAGAGGTACATTTTTACTCTCGAATAATTAGTTAAAAAATGAAGCTTTCCAGCGAATGGGATAATTGTAGAAAACATATCCAAACTTTCACCAAAGGTCTAATATTTACTCTTAATATACTCTATAATGAGCTGAGAATGAATAGAGCTTAGGCTCAAAATTTATACAGAGCAGACGATAAATCCTCTCTAAACCTACTTCACGAAATATCACAAAAGATTATTTGATGAAAATTCGTTTGGCCATCTCATTCGCTTGCTTTGTTTTGTCTTGTTGATATCCAGGTGATTGTGCAGTTCAAGAAGGATATTGGCGACAGCAAGATAGTTTCAATTATAGGTGAAATGTAAACTACTCATTTAATAATGTCGCCAAAAAACAATGACCTGGTAGGCGAATATTATATTTAAATCGCAATAAGTGACAAGCTTCTAGATTAAATGGGCTATATCAGAAGTTCGCTAAAGCATTTAAAAAATAATAATTGCCATATATCTTTTAGTAGCTTTAATTGCTAGATGAGCCTAAAGCTACATGTTGAGCTATTGCTTTGTAGATCGCTTACGAAAGATTAGTCTAGAAATGATAAAAGCTAAATATATGCATACAATTCATGCAACTTTTCAAATCCAAATCCATATGAACCTTTAGAATCTTTATCACTCCGGGATAATATAGCAACTGACATAAACTTGGAATATTTTCAATGAATGGCAGAGACATTGGTCGGTATCTTTAAAGAACTACAAAAATTTATTGTGATTGGCAACCTTTTTGCATCCAAATTTTTTGAGAGACCATGGTTTGAGTCCCTATGAATGTTCAATTGTGGAGTAGTCCATCCCTCAAATCATTCCATTTTTGAGTTAGATCCTGAAGTGGTTGGTCGACTGGGCATAATGGTATCCGATTGAGATCGTCACTTATATGAGGATACAGAGAAAGCATAGAGAAGTATAGACCGTGAAAATGGGGTAGGAATATGGCTTTTTCTCTCTACAATATCAGATTTAGGTCCCTATGATCGGAAGCCTTTAACAAGGTTGTAAAAGTAGGTCACATAGACTTTAAATCAAGATTAAATGTGGGTTTCAGCTGATCATTAAAGATGGATTCTTGGGATATTTACTTACTAAATATGACGTAGTAAGCCTTGAAAAAATTAAACAGTGAAATGACTGGAGAAAACATGAAATGGAGTGGTGAAAATGGCAGGCTTAGCTGTGCACATTTGAAGACGATTTCAATGCATTTAGGGGAGCAGCTAAGGTCAATCGAGAATCTAAGAAGAACATTATGACCTATTTTAAAAGACAATATCAAATATATCATTGGCAAGTAAGATCATTTTTAAATTAACATTGGCTTCTATTTTATTTTGAAAGAAATACTATTATGCTATTAGAGAAAAAATAAATGTTTAATAAGGCATAACAGTAAGTAACTTCTGGCTTCAAATAGCCTTTTGGCAAATAGCATGAAGTGAAAATAAAGAATTATTCCCAGTTTAACATGGACAATCAAACTACAACGATCTAACATGACCATCAATATCAGGTACGCTTGATAATACTTTCGAATAAGAACTTAGTCAACTTAGGTAACTTAAGGTCAGATAATGACCGGTGGTTGAGTTTTACCAGGGAGATGAGTAGGCATCATGATCCACAGCTTCCAATGGGACCAATTTTCGAATCCCTTCCACTAACCTCTTCGAACGAAACGAAGGATATTACAACATTAACATTATTAAAAACTGATTGATGAGTTTTTTTCCACAATGGGATGAATAGGCCTCACGATGCCATTGAATGTGAATTATCCCATTCCCTCTCAAAAGACTATTTCATCCAGGCTGAACGGCAGTCTCGAACTTGGATTATTTTCTCATCAGCATCATCAAGAGGAAACAGTACATCGTCGTAAGTATCGTAGCGAAGTCACCACTCTTCTATACGGCCACAAGTGATCGTGAAGTAGTTGTAACGCCATTGTAGGCACGACGTAATATCGAATCTCGTTGTGAGTGCTGGTGAGACTTAAGCGAGGCCGAAACTGCAGCCCGCCATTAATGAGATAGCCTTTGGAGAGGGAATGGGATAATTAAAATTCAATGGCATCGTGAGGCCTATTCATCGCATTGTAAAAAAACT